AACAAGATTTGAAACAACTACCAAACATCCATCTCTATCAACAAAAATGAATGACAAGTGGATGGCCTTTTTCTGCAACATTGTCTGAAATCCATCCCATTGCTAAAATGAATAAAATGTTACTTACATATAAACACTTATGTAGATTCCTTTCCAACCAAATGCCCCATGCAGCCATGGTCTTGTGTACTTGTACATGTATATAGATTTAGATGAATCGTCAAGTATGTTTGTCACTCCAAAATACTTCTTAAAAGAGTAGATTACAATTCAAGGAGAGAAGTAGGAGCAGCAAAGCGCGAGGGAGCGAGCGGGGCCCATGTCGAGAGAGTCGCAGCGGTGGGGCCGCGCATCGTCGAGTTCGACCTGGTCCCGGAAGAAGAAGCATTCCATTCCATCTACAGCAAAGCAGAGCAGAGCTGAGCATCATCATCGATCGAGTGATTGCATGCCGAGTGATTGAGTGTGCCCCACTAATTCGCACTCCCATCGCAAGCATCAGAAGCCATCCAACATCTCTTTCCACCCAGTCATCAACCACTCCACAGTGACAAAGTGTAACATTCTCACACGCACACATACACACACCCAATTTTTTACACACACTTGTTGGGTGGTGGTGGTGGTAGTATTGGCGGTACACAACCACCCTTGACTTGGCTTGGCTGCGACCGCGGGTCGTCAGATCCACCGCCTTGTGGTCTGTGGGGAGCAGGGGTCTCCTTCATATCAATCCCTTCTTTAGGGCCTTTGTTCCAGAATCATATCACCCGTGCCGCTCCGGGGAAGCTTTTGGCGAATTTCCTACCAGTAGAAGCTGAATTATCACCCAGGTTGTGTCGTGAAGGTAAGAACTTTGAGTTGTAGGGTGTGATTGAGCTTTGGCCTTCCCCCTGATTATTGTTTCTACTTTTTCGGTTTTTTTTATTTTAAGGATGACTTGAATTTTTGTTTTTCGTCCGCGTTTATTCAGACGTGAATTTATGAACTTACACGCATTGGGGTGGGATTGAATCGCAGTTATGATGGGGAAGCGTAAAGCTTGGCTGGTTCTTAGTGTAAAGCTATTCAGTGAGGAGTTTTCTGCGGGGAGTGATCGTGGTCTTCTGAAGGGGGGACGAGAGCAGGGACAGAACCTCTTGGGATGGTGATAATTGAGAGTTTCGTCCTGACCTTGGGTTGGGAAGAGTAGGGCACATTCTGCGTTGGCATGCTTCCTCTAAACGCTGCCCAATTCGTCACGAATGTTTCCTTTTGTGGTGTACACTTGCTGTGGTGGGACGTGCACAGCCAAACGTAGCGCACAGTGGTTTCTGTCAGGATCATGAACTCTGAGTGGATGGCACAATTGCGAGAGGGTGGGATTTGTGGGCGTGGCTACAATCTTTGTCCGACTGGTTTTCTTTTGGCTGCGATGCGCATCTTGAATTTAGACGTGATTTTGGTCGAAATGTGTATATGTGGCAATTCGGCACCGCTCTCTGCTGACGTCTCTAGAAATTTTAAGGAGATGGTTAATTTTTCTAAAGGATCGGTGATCCGCTTAGGACCGTGACGCTGCTACTTAATTTATGGGATTTGAGTTTTGTTGTTATTGTTTTTTTTGTTGGTCCAGAATCTTAAGCAGCTACAGAGTACGTGCCAGGATTACAGAAACCTCGAGCCTGGAACCTAGTGCATCTCCTTAGTCGAAGAATTTCACTATGACTGCTACTATGTGTACTTCTAAGACCGGATTTAATGCGTGATTGGGCATAAATGACCACAGATCTTATGCGTTGTTGGTACGACTGTTGCGATTTTATTTTGTTTTTTGTGTGAGAATTGTATGCTTACGTTGATTGTGTAACCTAATTGCAGATTTCAGTGTACGTGTTCGAGGATGTTAATTAGCAAATGGAAATGACCTCGTAATGCGCCCCACTTGTATGCCTTTCCCTAGTGTAAATATTGGTTTTAATAACCAGTGTGACGGGTTCATGTCGTTCATCGTATTGGTTTCGTTAAGATACATGTGTTCATACGCTGGTTTGACGATTAGTTTTTCTTTAGCGTTCAAGATCTTCTTTGCTTCAATACCAATATGTGTATGTGTAGCAGCAGCACACTGCGTTTCATAATACAATCCAAATGGAAGTTGATCGATTTTGGCGTATGTTTGCAGGTCTTCTGATTGGCAATTGTTGGGAGAAGTTTTGGATTTGGCGGTCGTGATGAATCGATCACCTTAGCTCGCACATGTCTCTTGGCCTTCAAACTAGCAACCTTTCAACCTGTTGAATTGTGCCCTCTAGATGGACTTTTCTGGAATGATGTCTGTTCAATCTGGTTATAGCAGAGAGAACGATGTATAGGGGGAAGACTTATTCATTTCAGGGCTAATAATTCCAGTGAAGGATCTTCTGTGCTAGAAACATTTAGGATCTGGACAAATATGTCAAGAGATAGGATGATGCTGTCCACGCTTCAGAGCCTCAGAGGTGATTCTGGTGGGGCCATCTACGACCGCTTTTTATGTTCTGGAGCATGGAGGGGATTGGACATTGATGACGATTATGCGCAGTCAGTGAAGTCTCAGGAACAGAATGACTTTATACCATCACCTCGGCGGTTTTACGAGCTTAATAAAGAACCTGCACGCTCTTTGAACAGCAATGATTCCTCGACCAAAATTCAAACTGCGTCATGTGGACTACAGCCGGATTCAGAAGAAGGTGGAATTGATTACATGGATAAGCTGCCGGATCATTTGTTGATCGAGATATTGGTCCGTGTTCCCACCTCAGATTGGATTGTAGCGGCATGCGTGAAGAAGCGGTGGGGAGCTATATTTCAAGGAGATGGGCTTTGGCAAACAGCGTTGATAAGGAGGTGGCCTGGTGCTGGAAATGCCAAACGATGGCCGGGTCCAATTGGTCGAGGCTCTGCTAAACGGTATGATAAATGAAAGGTTTTACTCTTTGTGGTTCATTATTACACATGAGTAGGTTTTTTCATAAACAGCATTAATTTGCAGATATTCATGACACACCACATAGTATACATTCTCTAAATTTTCTTTCTTTTTTTAGATTTAAGTTACGTTGGTTTGATACTCGTATGAGTTGCCGACCATTTTTGCAGACGAGGACAGCTGTTTTTTTTTACTTTTTTCAAATTTATTCCATTTGAGAGGAAGGGTATTGATCCTTATCTTCACAGGCGGTTCACAGCCTTGAACGTCAGCAGCAGCCTCTTGTTTCAGAACTCAAAATCTGAGGTTGATGAAATGGCTGGCCATGTGTATTTGTATCTCAAAGAGCAGCTGGAGCTTGCCACCCTACCCCTTTCCTATGGATTGCTTCATGGCACAATTATCGGTGTGTAGCTCCTTTCATCCTTTGCGAAGTTTGCATCTAAATGATAAAGATAATGAGCTCTTCTATTTGCATCCATCATAGTTGACATCTTAAATCTGCATGGAAAACATTCACAGCAATTTTTGTGCTTGAAAATCGCAGATCAGTTTCTGGCATGTGGGAAAAACAGCGAAGAGGCCCATGACGTCGCTTCCCAAATATGGGTTGCGGTGCTTGGAAATCTAGAGGAGACCGAGCGAACGTTTCACCTTCTGATGCGGATTGCAGAAGAGTGGGAGGTAAGAGATTGATTTGCTTGTTCGGCAAATAAGCTTCAGGCTCAAATTAGAAGGTTGATTTTTCTCAAATGGTATACGATTCATGTTATTAAAAGCATTGTACATGAGTTTTGACTTTTTCCACTCACGTACAATGTGCAGGTTTTCCTTCCGTTCCCGTACTCAAAATCACATGCTGTTCAATGGAGATTGTTTGAACGCCTTTTCACTGATTTTCGTGACTGCCTCTCTCAGTTTGACTACTTCAACGTCCTATCACGGGCCAAACACAAGTTTGACCTCATACCCGCCACTTGGCTTGGTTACTAACTAGATGCTGATTACGTTGTGGTAATGCACAGCACTCATAGATTTCAATGACGTCTAATAGATAAAACATCTTGTGCATTAGAGGTGTAGGGACTACCACTGGGGTCGTACTCATCCTTAAGCTTATAAGATAACTGCTGTCACAGTGAAGCACATTACGATCTGCTATGCATATCGATTCTTACCATGACAATGTTGCTCTTTAAGCAAGCTTGGGTTTTCTGCTAAATGCAGACCTTTTTGTACAGATTGCAGGATTATTATCCTTGTGTATAATGAACATGTTGGTTTGTTTCGGACTATCGTGTTTAAGCTTCTTTGGGTATTGAGGATCTTAGGTTCTTCAGATTGGTAGACCCATCTTGACACTTCTTGAGAAAATTCAATCATCTCATTCTGACCATATCTTTAGTGACTACTGTGAGTAATTTTAAGCAGGTTGGTGATCTTAATCATTTTGATGGGTAATCTTCTTTTTCTAGGTCTTACGTTATTCCTCGTGTCTTATGTTTCGTTGCATTGTCGTGTGTATCTTCATTTTTACAAGTCATTAACTCACTTGAAGCTGTATTCCGTTTGTTATATTTCTTCACAAGTTGAGATTGTTTTACTTAATCTATACTAAGCGGCGTCTCGTCAACCTGCCAACTGTCTGCAATGTGATGTCATCCTGAACCCGATGCCTGACAATGTCATCCCGAACATTATTGGTAGTCCTGAACCGAGCCCAAATACTCTTGTATCCTGTTCGATGATTGCCCCATATTTGTAGGAACTCGAAAATAGAAAAATGAAAAAGCAACAGAAACTCTCGATCGTCAGAAAATAAATATGGAAGCATCCTTGATGTTAACAGCATATACTTCTCTGCTGGCTGAGAGCACACTGTTCCAATGAGAAAAGTTAACGCCGCGTCTTGGGCTAAGTCGGATATTGAACACAAATTGGTTGAAAAGAGCCTGATGCTGTAGTACTCTCAATAGTTTTACGTCACGCTTTGACAGTACAGCGGCAAGCATCTTCGGTCTGCGATCCCCCATTTATCAGGAGATAAAACCCCTGTTGTTGATTGAAAACAACGAAGTGCACAAGAAGGGGATTGAGGAATACAAAGGTGTTCAGTTATCAACGAAAAGTAGCAGGAAACTAATTGAAACATAAGTTCAATCATAGTTTCCTCTGTGTTGGATGTATTTAAAGCTGGTTTGTTTTATTTTGTTTTTTTTTTTTTATTTATTGAATCCTTGGTACAGAAATTCTCAGGCATGTTTAGTGTTGCCAAGTTGGTTTTGTCAACTTGTATCCTCTGTATTAATTGGAGCCATTTCAATTGGGAATGTGTCTCCGAAGTTAAATTCATATTTTGAGTTTTAGATGATAGAGTGTTCTCCCTTTCCTGTTCTGTGGCAAAATTTTGGAATAGTGTCATGAAAGCTTATTTGATCTGAGACGAATTTTGAGAAGAGAAATTTCTACTGCGAAAAGGAATTCTATTGATAGTATGCCTCAACATGTGGAAAAAGATCAAGGAGATCAAACATCACAATCTAGCGCTTTCTGGTGCTGTTCTAGAGGTCTCGTTTCCAGGAAGTAGTGGCACTGTTTCTGGAGACTAGAGTATGAAAGCAGCCGGAAGTGGGTCATTCTATATTCTCTAGAGTGTGAAGTTGGGTATATTGGGTATATCTTTATTTATTGCATATTTATTGAAATATATTTATATACTTATCTTGCAATGATGATCTCTTTTCATGCCATTTAGTACCAAAATCCTTTTTCTATTTTAAATCAATGTTGTAAATCATAGTAAACCTATCATCATCTAATATCCAACACTCTTTCTCAACCCTGCTTTTATAATATCCAACACTCTTTCTCAACCCTAGTTTTTCTTCTCTTAATATATTGCTTATTTCTTCTTATATTATCCCTATTGAGATTATGGCTCATTTTCATTCCTTGTCATTAGTATGTTTGGTAACTTTTGTTTGTATTCTTCTTATCATCTTTGTTCAATTTTACAAATTACATATTTTTTTTTTGTTTTGCAAGTTATTTTTTTATTTTCTTATGGTGGAGATAAGTTTCACTTTGGTATCAAGACTTTTTTTATTGCATAGCAAATTTTTTTCCATCAAATTTTTTTGTTATCATTTGGTAGACATTGAGATGTTATAGTTTCCAATTCTCCTATTGACACTTATAATATTTCAAAATCAATAAAATTCTATGCTATTAGACATAGTCAACATCCAAGTATATACAACTTTTGGTCAAAATCTAAAGCAGAAGTAATCAATTTTCTTCAAGCTAAGTTCAAAGGGTTCAAGACTTTGATTAAAGCATAACATTATCTAGAATTGATTTCTATGTTTGGCAATTCAATTGATATTTTTATTATATTTCTAATCTCCTTGTACAATAGCTTGACCACCATTATCATGAGTTATTTCTTAATTCTAGTTATATTTATCACTTAAATTTTTCAATCTTTACAAATAATTTTGTATCATAATTCATTATTTTATCTATTTTTGCAAATTCAAATCCAAGTGTAGATTCATCAAACATTACATCCATATTAAGAAGAATCTTTATTTTTGGTAGATAATACAACCTATATATTTTATTTTTGTTGTCATACTCCAATATGATGCATTTCAAATTTTTTGATTAAAATTTGGATCTCTCTTTTTTAGACACATGTACATATGCCAAACTTCTTATAATTATTATATAATGAACTATTGATTTTTTCTTTGTCCATCTTTCTTCTTATATTTGTTTTTTTGTTAGCTCTTATAGGTCTTCTATTTATAAGATAATTTGCTATATTTACCATTTTTTACCAAAGATATATAAGTAATTTTGCTTTGTATTACAAATTTCTTGCCTTTTCAATAATGGCTTTGTTTCTTCTTTATACTACAATGTTTCGAGTAGGAGTTCTTACTTGCACAAATACCTTTTAATTCCATTTTCTTTATAATAGTTTGTGAATATTATAGATAAGAATTCTTCTCTTCTATCAATTCTTAATACATCTATTTTGTTGTTAATTTCAACATCTGCCATAGTCATAAATTGCTTAAATTTTTCAAGAATTTCATCCTTTATTTTGAGAAATTATACACAACTTTTATAACTTTGATCATTTAGAAAAATTGCAATGAATCTTAATCCATGTAAAAATGTTATTTTGATGGATCCCATTAAATCAACATAAATAAATTTCTTTACTTTTGTTGCTCTATTAACAAATATCTTTGGAAATTTTTTTCTTAGTTTACATCCTAGAAGACAAGCCTAATAGATTTATTTTGTGTTTGGAAGTGAAGATAATCCTTTTAATTGATCTGCCTTTGAGAGATGGTATAGTCCAATATAATTTAGATGCTTATAACAATGATGTTATTTCTATGTCTCAATATCTACTAAAACAAAATTCAATCTATTTTCTCTAAAGATTATATTATCAAATTTATAAAGCTTATTTTTAGAATTTATTTATCTAAATACTACTATTTTTAGATATTTAATTTTATCTAAAATATATACATATATTTTAATAAATAAAATGGGTCTTCCATTATTTACAAGATAATCCACTAATAACAAATTATTGATGATTGTTGATGAATACAAAACATCTATTATTTTTATTTCACCGTGATTGATTTACAAATTAATATCTCATTTTTCTTCAATTCCATCCAACTTATCTCAAGAAATGGTGAGATTTTTGTTAGCCATTTCTTTCATATTTGTAATCAAGTTTCTTTCTCTTGTCATATAAATGCTACATCTACTATCTATGTACCATTATTTTGATTTTTGAAACTCAATTAGAGATGCTTCATATTCATCTCGTTCATTTAATTTTTCATCTTTAGATTCAACTATTGTATTAATAAATTTTTCTATAGAAATTGGTCATTTTCAATGATAACATTCTTGTATAATGTGTCCAAGCTTTCCACATACAAAACAATAAACTATTTCTTCCCTTGAACATCTTCTTCCTCTGCCACCACATCCTTACTATTCTATTTTTCTTTAATCTCACCCACGTCCACAATTTGGATCTGTAATATAGTTTATTTCTTCAATCTCACCCAAATGTTGTATTCTTATGTTAAGTCCTTTTGCCTTGTTCAACTTTATGATGCATTTATCAAAATTTGGCAAAAGAGTTGAGTTATTAATTAAGTGAGTCATCATATCACAACTTCTTGGTAACCCATTCAAAAATAGATTCATAAACGTCTTTTTTGGAAGTGGTTTCTCCAACATAATAAGTTTATTCTTGTATTCCCTTACTAATCTCATATATTCTTTGCCATCTCTTTCTTCTTATAATCACAATGCAAACAATTAAGAATTTATCAATGTAATTTGTGATTAATCTCCACTTTAATAGATTTCCTTGAGTAAATTCTATACATTAGCAAGATCTAATTTCTCTATCCATGTATCAACAAGTTCATTACAAACAAACATCAATATTCTTACATGTGTTTTACTCTTCTTTTGCTAATGCATTGCTGCAATATAATGTTTGCATCTAATTAATGGAGGAAAGGTTGTCACTTCTGTTTTTACTTCTATAATTGACTATAGATTCTCTCTAATAAGCATGGATTTTATCCTAGATTGCCCTACATGATAGTTTTTTTTTTTTATTTATCTCCAACAAGTTTGTTGACTTCTTCCACAAAGAGATGCCTTCTTGGTTCACTCTCATTCATTTCTCAAGTCTTTTTTCAAAAGACTTATCTCTCTACATCACTAATTATAATACTTCTATTAGTTTCTACTGTCAAATCAAAATTGTAGAACTATTCTCTAATAATAAAGAGATTATTCATACATGTTTCTCAAAAATACAAAAATACATTGCTATCAATAATCATCAAACTCTCTCCAACCTTGTTTTGATACCATATTAAAAAACTTATATTGAAGTTTGTTATTTATTGCATACTTATTGAAATATATTTATACACATTCACTTTACTAATTAGTGATCTCTTTTTGTGCCATTCAATCCAGGAATCCTTTTCTATTTCAAGTCAATGTTGTAATTTATAGTAAACCTATCATCTAAATTAGGGATTCTAACTAAAGATCCACAAGCAGAGGTGGCCTTGCTATACGAAAATTCTACCTTATTATAAACGGCAGCAGATTGGTTGCCTAATATCCAGCCACGCTTCTCATTATGACGCTTTACCATATCTCATCGTTGAGACTGGACTTTCCACATCTTAGTGAGCGAGAGCTGACTGTGAGAAGCTGTGTAAGATGCCAGCCAGAGAATGTTGCTCTGTCTAAGATGAGTCGTGGAGGTGGTATATATGTATATATATATATATGTTTACACATGCGTCTACTAGGCAGCTGCTGCAAGATGTGGGTTTTTGCTGTGATCTCAATGGTATGTGTACCAGTAGTCGCACTATTTGTGGAAAGTGGAAAATTTACATCGATGCATGAAATGGAACAATTCTTAGAAACTGCGGCCATCGTGTCACAGATGATCCTGAGAGGTTGCCACCAATTAACCACAACCAGCTTCCAGAGAGACGTGAGTCGTCGACAAGTCCACCGCTAAGTTCTATATACAACAAATCAATTTGCGATACCATCCTGGTTCTGAATTCTGAGCATTGCTCGTTTCACACTATTGGGTGTGTGAACAGTAGCACAGAGCACACTAAAGTCGGAAAGGCAAACCAGTCGAGCACGTTTTGAAAATTATATTCAGGACTTCAATGTAGTTACATTTGTCTCCTCCTGAACAAAACTTTGCCATTAGAAACTATTCAAAAACACTACAGTACGCGAAGTCCAATCGTCTGTTGAAGCCGCTTATCCAAAATCTGACATGAATTTTCGCCTTTACTTCGCTGTGTGCAAAACCTCTCCCTGGATCTACTGGTCCAATTTCAACCATGAAGCTTCAAAAACACAGCAAAGCTTGTGACTCGATCTTGACCAAAGAACGCTTCGTACCAATCATCAGAAGTTGATGGTGGACCTGCAAATCTACAGGTTTCCACGGCGTCAATCTGATTCACCAGTTCCCAGTTAGTTGTTGTAAAAGCTTGAAAACTCAACCCTCAAAGCAATGACTGACGACCACATAGAAAACGGTCATACTTGACCTCACTCATCACTCTCAGAGGGCTCTTTCTGCCCAACTTCTCGACGTCCTGCTGATTCTCAACTTTTATACTCGCTCTCTACACCTGCCTCGTAAAACACTTCTACTTTTAAGTATCACCATCTTGAGATAATATATTTCACTAGCTGTTTGTGTTACACAGTCATGTCACGTACATTCATTACATACCTTGCGATTGTAGGCCACACCGTAGGCATTGAAAGGGTTAACTGCAAGTCCATTGCTCTTGTTGAATTATTCAAACTCTTCCGCCTGTGTCACACTTCGGTACCTCTTTTACACTTAAGTATGCGGTACGAAGGCCCTCGTAGTACTCTTTTGGAGTGTTGGTCACTTGTTTGCTTCTGCTGCTCTGAAGAGTCGGCCCAGCTTTTGATCTCCTTTCCAGGCACCTGCTGACTTATCAGTTACACGCGCGCCTACACTGTTGTTGCTTGATAATGCCATGCTGGAGCTCCTCGTTCGAACCCTTTCCATCAAATTTTGTCTTTCTGAGTGGTCTTCATCGTAAGCGACCATCTGCGAATCTAATTGAGACTCGTCAAAGCGTAGACTATCGTCTTGATTAGTAGTAGGTTTCGGTGATTTTGAGACCCCGTCCGCTTTAATTGACCTTGCAGGGTAGAGTTTAGGCTTTTTAAAATCAGAATGAATATGAGAGCTTTCCTCCCTTGCCCTCCTGCTCAAGGATGCTGCATCAGATGAAATTAAGTCTTTATGTACCTCCATAACTTCCACCAAGTCATCACCCTGGACCTTACTCGTCTGTCGCAAAAGGCCTTCGATTGCATCAACCACATTGCCTGTACCTTGGTCTTCACTATTGTTGTGATCCATGATGCTTCTGCCCCCAGCACTGCTGTCAGCCACTCCAAAAGCTTGCATATTATCGATACCCATAGGTCTTACATCAATTCCAGTCTCTCGACATGGTTCAGGTGTATCCAACTCAGAAGCTAAATCCAGGGGCTTGGACGTCCCTGCAACACTCGCCTCACCATTGTTAAAATTATTCCCACTTACCACGGACCTGGTTGAGGGTTGGAGTGCGGGCCGGCTAGTGACAGGTTTTAATTGAGAGATGCTCTCCTGAGATAATTTTACTCCAATATTGCTGTTGCCCGCTTCAACAGCCGACGGCGAATTGGCATCCCAAGGGTCTAAATGAGTTCCTTGAGCTTGAGAACAATCTGCACCTGTTTCGGCAGAGCGAATATTTCTCCGAACTGTCGAGACCTTGGTTACTCTAGTGGTTGTCGCTCTCGTACTCTTCGAAGAGAATGCCATGGATTGCGAAGGCACAGGATTTTGCTGGTTGGATGTTTGAGTTTGAGTTAGAGAAGGTGGCTGCCCAGCACGCACGGGGCGTTGTGTCATGAAACTATGTTCCACCTCTTTCTCTGCTGCAGTTGGCTCCCTTGGACGAAATTTATCCATGGGTACGGCCATATTCTGCTCTACGCAAGCATAAAGCCAATTTGCTGTGACGCATCGAATCCCGAGCCTCTCGGCATTTTCGTACTTTTCCCCAGCTTGCACCTTGCAAAGTAGATGCGTAATTTTGGAATTCAGTGTCTCCGAGAATTTAACTTTCAGCACGTAGCAAAGCTTCCTCAACAATTTTCGGTCCCGCTCACTGTATTGTGAGACGCAGAACTTCACTCCCTGCAAGTCAGCCAGCGGTATTTGGCAAGGCAAAGGTCGGAACAGGGTGTGACTACCGACGTCGAGCAGCTTCCCCTCTTCCAGGCACTGAGATATCCAGTGCTTTGAAACGAACTTTACGGTGGTTGCAGCAGGAGTGCCGTGCGGAGCCAACACATATTCTGCAGAAGAAACGCTTGCTTCGCAGACGCCCCCATGGTCCACAATGCGTCGGATGATATCATCTCTCTGATCTAGGGGATAATCGTTTGTGAAACCAAAAGCAATACCCGCGAAGCACTTACCTGTCCGGGAAATTGGGACCATCAATCCCGTTCTCTCTGAAATGAAATCTTCCGGCCGGGTCAAGCAGGCAGTTCCCTTCGTTGCTGATGTTCCACCTTCACCTGAGGCTGCCGACATAGCACCATGACCGACTCCTGGATCAACTGAACCTCCCTTCCCAGATTGTGAAACCCCAGAAACCCACCCTGTTTGTTCTTTACCTTGAAGGAGAACATTATGAGATACAAGATAAGGGTCAGCAGAAAGTTCTCTTCTCTGTCGTGTGCACTCTTCAAGCCACGCTGGTTGCACGATGTACACGGCGCCCCACATTGCCAGTTGCCTGATCTCCTTCATACCACATTCAGCTGAATTACTTCCAAGAATCACATGGGTGATTGTGTCATTCATCTCCATGTGTCTGGTACCTCCACCAGCGAGCACGAGATTCACCTGCTTCTTCATCTCAGCAGCATTAAATCCAGTGAGAAAAACCCTACAGCCCGAAAGATACATCGAATCTTTTTCAATGCTTTGCCGTCTTTCCGCATTAGTGTCAGCAGACGCCTCTGCATCTTGCTCCCCTGATGCATTGACTTCGTTGTTGGACGCTGGGCTTGAAAAAGTCCCTTGCTCCTGAACTGAAGGCACTTCTTGCTTCAATCCACCAACGGGAGTCCGTGAGACCTGCACTGTGGGCGGGACCACAGGAAAGCACGCCTCATCGAGGCACAGCTTGCGATTGATAGACTCCCAGAACCAGTTCTGCGACACCACCTTCAAACCCCAGTCCTTTCCTGCCTGGTACTTTCGGCCTTCGGGCAGAAGGGCAATCAAATGTGAACATTCCCTAGTGAGGTCTGCATGATAAGCAGCACCATACTTCTGAGCAGCGTCTTGTATACGATACCTATCTTCAAACATGATTCCCGTAGCACAGATCGTGAGGCCAGCAAGAGGAAGCATCTTATGAGGATCATGTGGAACTTGCCGGTGTTCTCTCGCGCATTGCCGCAGCCACGACGACATGAGTGCCGGTTTTCGAGCCACGTCACTAGCCCATCTATATTTTGTGGCTAAAACATCCTTAGCCACCACAAAATCAACCTCCCGGACTGGTTGTTGAAGCAAAGTACCATCCATGGACGTCACCAATTCTTCCAGGTCTTTTTTCTCATCACCAGAGAACCCTGTCAATAGTACTGAAACGCCCTCCAAGGCCAAACAGCACGTATAGTCACGATCCGGGAGCCGCTTGCCTTCTCTTGCGCAGCGGAGGACGCATTCTGGCCCTACGACTTTGCAGCCCTTCGCACGCATGTCTTTGATTTTATCAACTTGGAAATCTGCAAGAACGTGATAATCTACATTGGAGTTGGAGAAAGGATTCAAGTTCAAAAACACCTCCGCTCCCTGGTGTGCAAGTGCATCTTGTAGAGCACTATATTTCTCCGGGGGTACATAATTGCGCGGGAGAAACACTCTGAGGCCTAGAAATGGAGGACCACCTTCCCTCCCACCCACCGCCATTCCAGGTAGTACACTCATCAGACCCAGGAATGGTTTAGGGTTCAACCAGCTCTTCCAAGCATATCAGCCCACCATCCATTGCACCACGACATTCTTCGACCAATGGATCTCCTGAGCTTGCCCTAGGACATCATCGGATTGACATCCTAGGATATCCTTCGGACCTAGAGAAGGGTGAAAATGAGAGGATCGATTTCGCAGAGGAAGTATCAAGTGCTCAAGCTTTGAATCCACCATCTATAAAATTGAACAACAATTTTGGAGGAAAAAATAGACACCAGGTTGCGACGTAGAGACAATTACCTGCAAATAATAAGGCAGTCAGTCAAGAATGCGCCCGCAGCGCATTCTGCTCGCACACAACAAAGCCCTTCATAAACTCATCAACAAACCTTGCGGTTAAAAACCTACTGATACAACCTTGCGGACATCAAACATCAAGGCACCGGGTCGAAACTGACGCTCCCGCTGTAACCAAGAGTCCACAGACACCATATTGGCAACGCCCGGAAATGTCCAATTTCGATAACAACTACTCTAACGGCACCATTCGCATATTACCAAGATGTCTGTACACGAGAAGCAGGATTACAATTATCACTCGTTCTGCAAGGCGATCGCCACCCTACTTCAAAGTTGGAAGGTCTCAAGTAATTTATCTATCCCGCCACTGGAAATCTCCAATTGCACTTTCTCCGACAGATCAGAACACAATGTCTTCCATACCCCTTACCCAAGCGGCCTCCAGCTCGATGACAAATCCCAAATGCAAGCCCTCAACCTAAACACAAGCTCTCCCAACGAAAAGAAAAAATTAAGGACCGCCACCACTAGTTCCGCACAACACAATGCAATCGAGAACTCACTTGCACCCTACACCCGGCAGAAGCCCAGCGACGACAACCACTCCACCACGTAAATCTCCATGTCCTCGCAGACCTCGCAGATATGTATCAGCGGAAGAAGCTGCTCCACAACCTGTGAACTACCATCCCATGCTATTGTTGTTGTTGTTGTTGTGACTCCACAAACTCCAGAGGCTCTCTCTGAGTTAGAAAGTGCCAAATGCTACTTGCGAGGACGGCCCCAGTGCGACAGGGCAGTGTGGGCAAGTCGGCATGAAAGCATCGGGAACTGGAGACGTCACACACAAAAGTGAGTCTGCGAGTTTGCGAGGAGCGAAATCCAACTTGATGAGTTCGTGAGCTTAAACCAAAGTCGGAGGCGTCTCGTGGATGAATGCTGTTTTAGATGAATGTCCTCGTTTATTCATTGTATGAATGCTGTTGCTCCTCGGTCTCCGACCCCCTACTGGATAGAATCATTCATCCTTCCGGAGATGACTCGCATCGAAACCCAATGCTTCCGAAATTAAAATGTAAGTAATTTATGGTCTTTTATTGATTTCGTCAATATTATCTATATTTTTTTACGCTTTAAGCATGGGTGGATTCTTGGAGGGTGGATCCATATGTTACAAAAGATAATTATGTAATACAAAATTAAAATAAATGCTGTCCAAAATCATCAGAAGATGATTTTATGGACCAATTTTCTCTTCTTCATCCACATTTAATCGTCATTTTTTACATGTGTGTTCATTTGCACTCAACTTGGTTAAAATTTATGGAGATATATTCATTAGAATCATTTTTCTAAATTGAAAAATCACTTAGCAAACACCAACAACAACAATGTATTGTTATCAACTTGAAACCTAAAAAAAAAAATAGTGCTGTATAATTTAAATTATATTAAAATAGAATATGAAAGTAATTAGTATAATCATATAAATTGGTTTAAGTATGGTACAAGAATAATTGTACGGGTTTCTTGTAGCAATTGTAAATTGACAACAATTGAAACTCTAATGTTTAAAAGTATTAATGAATAAATGAACAAGTTTTTTAAAAAAGACACTCTTAAAATGTGCTCATTTTGTGTACAAAGGTTTTTAAAGTAAAATTCACCAATTTTAGAAAAATAAATTGGTGTTATGAAAATCTTACTTAAAAGTATTAAAAATATGTAGAAGTATAATATATACTTTTCAATCAAATGCATCAAAATATTATGGTCATTTACAGTTCCACTACAGCAACACTCATTGTAAAGTGGTCTTCTCTCAATCGAAGTTTAGGAAAGGATCTAACGGAATCCTCCAAAAACTATTAAGTTAAAAAAAAAAAAAAAAAAAAAAAAAAAAAAAATCCTTTGATAGTAATTCATTTAGCAATTTATTTTCAGACTATATATTCATATCTCTTGTGTAAGAAAAGATGGATTTTACATGACAGGCAAACAATTGAAGGACATAAAAGAGGTAGTCACAAGTATATCATTGACCAAATTTTATATCATATTTTATTTTCCCAACTGAAAAAATACTTTTTATCCACGAGAAATACTTCCAAAAAGGAAAAGTATTCAGTGAAATCCACGTAACATTTTACAATGAATACTCCAAAGTGTGAAATTAAACAAGGTTTACAGGAGCTGTCTCGCCGTTCAAATGGTACAACTCTCCACTAGCGCCATCCAAACAAAGATGATGGATTAGAGGAAGCAGTGATTCTCCATGAAGAATGTATAATAAGTATGTAAGAATGGGAATCTCGGTATCCAGAACGGGGTTGACGGACGAGGCCGACATCGTCGCCACGGGACGATTTTCGTGACGTGAGTCGAGAACCAGGTCGAGGGATTGATACCCTGAAATTATATCCTGGAGCCTACAAGGACAAGGCCGATCCCGGATCGGGTATATGGCCGTCTGCGTATCGACCTACTATCAGGAGACCTATCAGGGAAGCTCTCAGAAACAGGAGGTGTTGATCTTGGTTTCGTGGAGTTGGAGGTTTTCAGCTGCGTCAGGTGGTCTAGCAGAGCCAGCGATGGAGCTTGTCAGCAATTTCTTGCAGTTTTGATCACGCGCTAGGCTTTGGTTTACTTCTTTGATTTCAAGGATCGCTTGGTTTTTGAAGCTTTGCGAGTTGGTAGACCGAGGCCTGAGAACAAGTTGAGGTTTATGTGGGCGATGCTTGGCGGAACGCACTTTTGCGACGGGAGAGGAGTACCATGATCACGAGGAGTCGAGTTGGGTATGTTCATGGAGAACCCAATTAATCTTTTTGCATGATTTTGAAGCTTGATGGGTTTGTTGCCATTTCGTCGTGAGCTGCGTGTTGACCGGCTTTCTGTTGAGTTAATTCATGTGCGTTTGAGGTTCTTGAGTGGATTATTTTGGGATGAAATCTTGAGACGTAGGGACTTCCGGGCCTACGATGACCATGGAGGTGTTGCAATTTCTTGCTGTGGCTATTTTTACTTGAGATTGCCTTTCGGATGACCTCGAAAGGGGCGTCACCGTGATTTAGGTTTGAGAGATCACGCCGGAATCCGCAATTGACTGAGCTTGGGTATCCGTTTAGGATTGATCGAATCAATGACGGATTCCGGCAACTAGAAAGATGACATGACTGAGGCGCATAGTGAATTGCTGCCTGACGTTTTGGCTTTTTCATATTTTCCTTAGTGACGGGGGATTGTGTGGTTGATTTCTACGGCTAAGTACTGATAGGGATACCACTGAACAACTCTTGGGCATTCAAAAATCGCGATCCCCGTTTGTGGAAAAATGATTAGGGGGTTAGTGACGTCGGAAGTATCGTCTGTCGGTTTTTTGTCACTGTTCCGTTTCCTGTGCGGTAACTACAGCGTTTTGTTTCTTTTTGAAGAGGAGCTTCGAACATGGAGGCCAGTGGGGACCAAGGGACTGTGCCGTTGTCTATGATTCCGCTCCTGGAGGTGGCCTATAGTAAATGTCAAGAAGAAGAGAAGGATGGTTTGGAACAAAGAAGCAGTTGGAATACGAAGCGGGAGCCGGAAGGTGGGAAGAAGCGGAAAAGGTCTTCAAACTGGAGCGAAGCCGAAACAATTCAACTGCTTTTGTTGAGGAAAGCACAGCTTCAGAATAAAGAGGAGAGAAGAGCATGTCCGAAGGGTTCCAGCGCATGGGACGAGATAGCCTCTCAACTGAAAGATAAATTCATTCCCAGATCCGGGAAGCATGTGGGTGAGAGGTGGGACACTCTCAGACGCGTATACATGGATATTGAAGAGCACTGTTCTGAACATCAGAAAACCTATGCGGAGGTTTTAGATGCGAACAGAGAATTATTTAAATTTATTCCCACAGAGTATACGCAGAAGTGGCATGAGCTGATTGCAGATTGCAAACCTGGGAAAAGGAGGGGAAAGAAAACCACCGAAGCTGTTAGCTCGCAAAAAGATTTGACGTCCTCGTTGTTTACTGAGGCTGCACCTCTCAAGACTGGGCCAGTGATAGAAGAGTATCCTATGACTTCTCACAAACCTTCAGATGAATCTGGTTCTCAGGGCGATGTGAACCTACTGAAGCTTGACAGAGCTGCTGCTGACGCCGCACATATTGAATATAGACCAAGTGAATCGAGTCCAACATTACGCGCACAGTCCTCTCAAATCGCATCTGCATTTGATACACTTATCAAAGATATAGAGCATATTTTCTCTCGACAAAGATACCAGCACAATTCCAGCCAGAGATGTGAGAGAACATATGCTAGGAGAACAAGGGACTGTGACGAGAGGGTCGACGGTAATGGCGTAGAACGAATGAATGATATGTGTTACTCAAGTAAGATGAATGTGGTTGCATCCCTGCAATCTGTGCTGGAAGCATTGAAGAGTGCATCGGAATTCACAAGTTCAGGTTAGTCATACAGTAGATGATGCGCTCCGTTATGCTTCATGTTCCTATATTCTCTTCTGAATTTTGAGAAAGGTCTGACACGCAAGTTTTACTTGAAGTGTCTGTTTGAGTTAGTAATGTCTTATTTAATCACCTCGCCTTGTTGATCCAAAATCCTTTATGCTTTCATTTATAGTTGTTTACGAAAACAGGATCCTCTGTTGGGAAATGATGAAGTCAGTGGAGAGGTGGCAATTGCAGCCAGTTACCGTCCTTCGTGTCATATGTCAAGGTTTACGGAGAAGTTAAAAAGATGGCCTCTTTCTGTACCCAGGAACTTCAAAAATATGTCTTCTTTAGTTCCAGCTATTTTTTACCACTTCTAAATATTTTGTCACTTAACTGACTTTTGGGAACTACTAACTCTTTCTGGATCTCTGTGTGCAGCATACTGAATGTCTATAATATCCCAACAATGAAACACGATGTTAATCTGAGGTCGTATTATCTGACTTTGGTAGACTAAAATCTGTGTCCCCTTGCAGATTCATATCTCCTTAAAATAGACAAACGTGAATGGAATATCGTGGAGCATAACATGCGTGCTTTTTCGGACAGGCACAAGAACAACGCGCAGCCTAGGTATGTTTTAAAATTCCCTCTGAAGGGTTTAGGACGAGGCCCGTGAGGCTTGCATAAGTTTCCTAATTATGCATACATAGGTTTCGTTTAGGGCAACCGGGTTGCTCTTTTTCTTTGCAATTGAGACTTTGTAACCTGTATGAGGACTTGCACAAGTTGTGACTTGTGCTGATAGGACGACCTACTCAAAGTATGTCTCAGGCTAAGTATTAGACTGGTTTTCGTCCATTTTGTATTATGTGCAATAATTTTCTAATGCATGAATTGTGCTACCCGTTATGTTGCAGACCTCGCCCAGAAGAAAAAACAAATAACAGTTGTGCAAGGAATGAGCTTTGATCTTAGACCCCAGATAGCGTGAATCGCCATGGTGATGCTATTGTTGTTGCATTGCAGCAGTAAATATATATTCCCTGATATATTTGCAGTCATAGGAGTACAAAATGTAGGAGACCGAGTTTAAAAATTGGTACAGTGGTATGATTAGGATTTTAGGGATCTTTGGGTCCAAATATTGAAAGTTGAATTGACGTTTTCAGGTCAGACGGTTGGTGAAGCAAAATATCGATGCTTTCAATTTTTTCATCAACTGCGAAATGACGATCATCCATTCACGGGGGATCTGTAAAGTGGCCTTCAACGAAGACCCAAATCTCGATTTGAAGTGAGCATTGAATCATTTGTTTGGAATACAGCTTGCTAGTATACATGAACTTTAGAATCATACTGCATTTAGTGGTCGTTTGAATCGTAGTCGGTAGGCTGAATTCACTTGATCGTATATAGTTGAATATTTTTATTCCTTCCTTTTTCTTTTTGTTATTACTCGAAAACTGTGCATTGAGAGCGTTCTCTGCTATCAATGAGGATGCTGGAAGTAGTTGTGCCTTCTCTAGCACGAACTGCCTTAATCCGGCCTGGCCTGTTTTTGTTAAGTTGCTTTCGTGTGGCAATCTTCTTGCAGGAATTTTAATCTATGGATTTAGAACTCTACTTGCAGTTGGCAGACGCATGAGTTGTTGGAGTCTAGACATCATACTGAGACTTACTGGGTGTATTGTGGAAGAGCCACCCTCACTACACATCATGGTATTGTTGAAATGGATGACATATATGAAAATAGGAGCACAGGTCATTGATTGAGTTGTGCTACAAAGCTCTCCTCGGAACAATTTGATGGCCTACTAATTGATTCTGATGCAGTCAGTACCTCGTTTGATGGAACTTTTTCTTCCCAATGGTCTTGAAAATGTATCTAGTTGGTGACATTCACAACGTGATATTAACATCATCTCTAAATTATAGTGTCGCTACGACTTTTGTGATATTTATCACTTCCTATCTTAATTTTACCCGTGGTTAATTTCCATGGAAATATCTAATGGCACAACATCCCGTTTTGGTGTTTTAGTAGAATGTGATAGATTTTCTCATTAGTTTTCAACAGATTTTTCCTCATCAGTAGAATATGCCAATAATTCTTGTTCCATATTGTTTTCTTTGTTTACTCTCTCCTACGTTATATATTGGAATCTTGCTTTGTATGAAATGATCGTTGGTAGCATTTTTATTTTTTCTTGTCATAGTTGGTTTTTTACTGAAGAAGGTAGAGGATCCAGTTTCGTTATACATCCAAGATAATACCCAGACAATTAAATATGTGTATTTCACTCTGTTGGAGATTGTTTTTGATTAATTGATAGATTCTGGTATGTCTCATGTTGAATAATTTTAGGTCAATTTAAGCAACAATGAAAGGAAAACTTCAATATAAAGTTAAAAATTAATGTTGAATTGTTTACACAACGTCTTTATTCTACCACTTTACAAACATTTTACTTATTTTGATTGGTAATGTATGTAACTGTGATAATTGCACATTCCCAAGGTTTCTTGAATTAAAAAGCATATTTTATAATTTATAAAGAAAATACGTGGTATGATTACTAGAATAACATCTTATCATTAAATTTGTAATAAAAATTTGGTATTAAAATATAAATCATTCACAGATTAAATATTATAGTTTTGTAATACAATATTCTTATTGTAATTCTCTAAATTAAATGTTACTTAATTCTGTTGGCATATTAAAATTATCTATCTATATCATATTTTGCTAAATAGTTATAAGATGTTATGTAGAAAGGTTTTTGTACATTGCAAATAAAAATTAAATTTAAGGAAAATATTGACAATAAAAAAAAAATCTTAATTATGTTTATATCATCAAAATTATCTGGACTACTTAAGTAAATAGAAGTAGAAGTTGCTAGAAAAATATTAGATAAAACATATATTTTTATAGAAACATCAAAGAAAATGTAGAGACAACATTGAGGCCATTCTAGGACTTGTCAACATCTTTATGTACTCCACCCTTGGTCAAAATCAAAACTCTCTACTTTTTTGTACTTGACAATAGTTATGTTGGTACCTTTTATTTCAATAATATATTTCTTCTTTTTCAGTTCTCTATGATTGCATTTTCTTTTGACAAGTTTTTTTAGATTCATATCATTGACATCTTTTATATTCCTTATTATAATAGTCTAATAACTAAATAATTCACCACTTAGAAAAAAAAGAGGTTTCCAAATTATTATCATTAATTTCATATATATATATATATATTAAAAAGAAGAACAATCAAACAAAATAATTTTTAAACAAAATTATGTTACAACTTTAAAAAGTCATTTTAAATTATTAATTTTATTATAAATAATTACATAAATAATATTTTTGATGAGATTGTAATAAATTTAAAATACTTGTATTAATTTGGCTTATTTTTAAAAATAATATTTAAATAATTAATATTAAAAATCTTATTAATATATCTTTTTATTCTCTTTTACTTAAATTCTTTTATTTTTAGCCTAAATTTCTTTTGCAAGAAAATTTCTCTTTTATTTGAGAGTGTAATTAATGTGCAAATAAAATCTCAACTTAATTTTGGACATAATTACCACATACTTTTATATACCACATAAAATTAAATAAGTTACTAATTAAGTAATTTTTATTGAAGCATAATATTATGAAATTATTTGAAATAATAAAAATGATTTAAAAATTATTATATTTAATTTAAATATAAATTTAATAAATATTTATTATTAAGTGAATTTATGGATATAAGTATATTTATACTTTAAAAGTAATTTTCTAATAATTTTAAAATATAGTTATTAAATAGTATAGTAAAATATTTATCAATCATTTCATTTGGCTTTGCAAAACTTTGATTTAATTTTAAAATATTTATCAATCATTTGATTTGGCTTTGCAAAACTTTGATTTAATTTTAAAATATTTTAATGTGTTGTCATTTTAAACTTAAAATAAAATATAACCAAATAGAACATACAAGCCTATTTAGGTTTTTAAGAGTTGTAATAAATCAAATTCCAAAATTTTTTCTAAATAATATTTTATCATTTGTATACTATAAAGAAAAAATTTAGGATATTGAATTTAATATTAATAAAATCAAAGTTGAGATTAGAAATTTTTTATTTTAAATTATTAGATAAATAAATTTATTTTTACTTTATTTTTTTATATTGGTATTAACTTAAATAAATACCTAATTTCTTATACAATTAAAAAAGCTTCATTAAAATATCTTTATAGTAAATATGTATTTAAAATTGAGAGGAATTTCTAAAAATTTAAGTCTTGATTAATAAATAATAATTTTATTTTATATTTATTTATTAATAAATTTTAATTTTATGACTTTAAAGAATCAACAAATTTTTATTGATATTTTATAAAAAAAAGTGAAATCTAAGATATTTAAATTTGAATTATTTTGTGTGTATATATATATATATATATATATATATATATATAGAATTTATTTGAATAATATTTCAAAAATTTAAATTATCATAATTTATTAATTTAATTATTTTAAAAATCAAGTAAATCTACTAGCATATGTTATTATTTTGTGTGCACATGTGTACACATCTATCTATCTATCTATCTATCTATCTCTCTCTCTCTATATATATACAAAAAAAAAATACATAAATATTTTATTAATAAAAATTTATTTATATTAATATATATTTCAAAGTTCTTTTTTTTGAAGAGCCACATAATGCATAATATATAGTCTTTTTACATCTCTTTTGATAATGCACATGATATATTTTAAATTATAATTTTATTTTCTTATAAAATATTCTAATAGTATTTAAAGAATAAAATTTTGAAAATCCAAATTTGTCACATTTTGATCTTTCTTATGAAAGAGGAAGAAAATCATTATATCTAATTAGAACTATTGGAGTAACACAAGATTTCTTAGATTTAGAATTCCACTTGAAAAAGGTCATTGCTCAAAAGTCTTATAAAGATCTTTTCTATGATGAAGAAAAATTATTTTGGAAGCATGGGCTTTTGAGGACAATATAAAGCGAGATACTGTCATTACATTTGTCAGACCATTCTTTAACTATGATTCTAAATATCATAGGTCTTGTCTTATATATGTCAATAATAACAAACTTAAAAAAACATGAAATAGCAATAATAATTAATAACAAAACACCTCAATTGTGATTTGTAAAAATCATCTTTTGAGGTGGGCCTAACACAACACTATTCACATCATGTAAGAAAAAAAAAGTACAATCCACCTACTCTTTTCCTTTCCTTTAATGACCTCTTGACTTTACTTTCGTAAGTATAAAGCCAACTAAGTACCAAACCAAATTTCAAAAGCTTTCAACTAAGCACAAGTTTTGAAAGCTGTGACTTTTGCTCTCTCCCCTAAACATAAAGTTTTCCTCGTTTGTGAAACCACATATGCCATGATTTATCTTACAGACTAGGCCACATCAACAGGGAACAAGCACGAAGTGAAAATGGAAGACGCAACGAACGTGAAGTGATGGAAGGCAACTGTGGTCAGAATCAGAGTCGGTATATGTCAGGTTAAGCTCTATTCTAGACATTCGGTGGACAAGTTTCCTCACCACCATGGAATATTCACAAGCTAATCCACAGCACAAATCAGAGTTTACAGCTTATTCACATCCCAGCTTACCCACACCATCCAAGTGATCGAGGCCCACTGCATGGCTCGCTTCAAACTTCGCCCGGCTGGTATCACAAGCTAACACAGAAAAGCAAAACAAGATTAAGGTGTGACTCAATTCACTCTACTGGTTTGTATTCCTAATCAGTCTCTCAGCAATCAGGTCCTAAATCAAAACCTTGCATAGGATTCCGGTTTGGGTACTCGGTGCCTGACATGCAGTGTTCCTGGATCATCCTCGGGCAATCTTTCTGTGCAGTATGGGATGTGGTATCAGGTCGTTTGCCAGAGCCGCTGAATTGCAGTGAGCGATTTACTGTCTGTAATGAGTGTAGACAAGCAAAGCAAGCATAGCGGTTACTGGGGAAAAAAAGAAGTTGTGAAATATCACACAGCCGTCATATTGTAAAGAGCTCTGCGTAAGTACAGATGATGCAAAACATGGAAATTTTGGCCGATGGCGGAGAAACCGAGGAAGCCCTCTCGGGTAATTCCAACCACATAGAAAAATTCTTGCACTGAATAAAGTTTGCTGCACTTTGTGCAGCCAGTTCCCCCTATTCTTCTGTAGCTCTGACATTTCTCAATCTGTTGAACTGTGGATGACTGTTGAACTTCTGTGGTGTCGTGTACCAAATTGGAGTCTGAGATAAATACCTGATTGTGTGTCTTTATCGTCATGTGCCACGGACACCATCCTTCCACGCACAGTTGGCCCCATTTAGCAGCCGACGAGGGCTTGGGTCTGAAGTCGATGAAGGGCGGCTCGCAGCCGAGCTGCCGTGCACCTGAGGTTTCTACTCCTCGGTGGTGAAATCTGCTACTAGGAAAGCATGTTTGAAAGCTGTGTGCAGGAGACGTAGTCTCTAAACCTTGCTTGGTCAAACGATCCTCGTGGCAATCCCGACACTTTGGTTGGAGTGTGACTGGATAACATTAGTGACCAGGAGTCAAAAGCTATGTCGTGTACTCGACATAACGCTCTTGATTTGGACAGGCTCGTCGTCTACGTGTGCAATTCGCACGCACGGCAACTAGCTTTCTGCAGAAGACGGCTCTCTACATTCATTGATCATCAGAGCGGCATCTAAAACTTCTCCACGGTGCAGATTTCGCACCGAAATCTGAAATAGATCTGTGTTTTTTTTAGTGGACCGCCCTCTGCTGTAGGCTATCATGTCTCCACTACAAGAGCATCAGCCTTTCGACGTTAGAATGCAAAACTCGATTTCCTTTAGACAACTCGCAAGTGAGACTGAGAGATAATACTCGTATAGGAGTTCTTGGGTTTTGCACATGATCCAACTGGTTGTGAATGAGCACGGCTTTGTGCTTGTGTGTTAACAGCCTAACGTTTTTCACAGCTGAAATGCGAAGGTACAAACCTCGTCTTGCTGGAGAGTTTTGAAGCCGTGCACTGAGTTGAGGTTTGTGGGTTGCATTTCTTTTTGCCTTGTTACGTCTGCCTTCCCTTCTGGATCTGGATCACTTCTGCAATTGAGGGTTGGATAGTGCGAGTGAAAAGTCAAAAATGGGAGTTTCGAAAGCTGGAACCGAAACTAGATTTGATTGTAACAATGGAAAGCAAGGTTTGGTGGTATCAGAGAGTGAAGATTTATATGAATCCAGGAGTGTCACGACGTCTGATTCTGTTGTTTTAGGTTTGCTGAAGTCTGATTGTATCAAGGAAATAGGAGAAAAAAATCTGATTGTATTAAAGAAGAGTAATCAGTCTTAGCTGTTCAAATTAAGACGAGGTTTGTACATTTTGATACAAAGTTTTATTTTTGTGTTTTTTTGAACACAGGCACATGCGTTTTATGAAATATGGCAGGCGGAATTATTCCTGATAACATTTCTACCAGTAGTATTCCAACTGGCAAAAAAACAATTTTCCCACTCACGCTCATAACACTACTCTTTTTCCTATGGGGTTTTGCATACGGATTATTGGATGTCTTGAACAAACACTTCCAAAATGTTCTTGACTTGTCAAAACTTGAATCCACCGGCCTCCAAGTTGCCTACTTTGGAGCTTATATTGTCTTTCCTCCAATGGTTGGAACGCCAATTATACGGAGATTTGGATACAAGGTTTCAATCATGTTGGGCCTTGGTTTATATATTATTGGAGCTGTGGGTTTTTGGCCATGCGCACAGTTTGAGACTTTTGGAGGCTTTGTTGCATGCACGTTTGTCATTGCATGTGGTTTGTCCAACCTCGAAGTTGCAGCTAATACCTATGTGGTTATTTTAGGAAGCCCAAAAACAGCCTCGTTGCGATTGAATTTTTCTCAATCATTCAATGGCTTGGGTAGTTTTGTTGGGCCATTAATTGCATCGAATTTCTTTTTCTCTTCGGGGAACAAAGACAATCTTGATTCCGTTAAGTACATTTACTTAGGAATAGCATGTGGAGTTTTTTTGGTTGCAATTGGATTTTTCTTTGCAAAATTACCAGAGATCACAGATGATATGGTATCTGAAGAATCCAACATTCCAACAAAGCCACTTCTAAAGCAACCACATTTCCTTGGTGGAGTATTGGCACAATGGTTATATGTAGCTTCGCAAGTCACTGTAGCCACGTTTTTTATCAATTTGGCCAACGAGAATGGTGTCAAATCTGATTCTAAGGCTTCGCAACTGCTCTCGTATGCTTTGTTATTATTTACTGCTGGTCGATTTTTTGCTACATTTCTGATGAAGTATGTACAAGCCAGGCATATAGTGGGAGTCTACTCTACTGTGTGTTGTATCCTTTGTGCACTTACTGTTATACTTCATGGAATTGGAGGATTAATAAGTGTTATGACATTATTCTTTTTTGAATCATGTCTATATCCAACCATCTTTACTCTAGCCCTTCAAGACTTAGGTGGAAATACCAAGCGTGGAGGTGCTTTTGTAGTTATGGGAGTTGGTGGAGGAGCCATTTTCCCTCCCATTGAAGGAGTTATTGCAGATAGAGCAAGTACAAGAATTGGTCAAATTGTTCCAACAATTGGATTTGCATATGTCATTTTGTATGCTTTTTTGTTAGCCAAAGCACAAAAGCCTAAATAGACTTCAGTCATCACTTCATGTACAGAAATGACTATATAAAGATAATTGTAACTGTTAGTTTTAGCAATGATTTGTACAAAATAGTACCCCAAAAGGTAGTAAAATATAGATGCTGTCCTGTACTTCCTAGTATGATATTAGAGTTCAGAATCAGAATTTGCACAAATAATAGCATATGTGATTTTACTCGGACAACATTCAACAAGATCATGTCATCAAATTATGCACTGGTCATTATCAACCCCAGTTTTATTGAAAATCTAGCATCTAAACAGTCAACTGTTAAATTGACTGCATGTTCAGGGATGCTAACTAGTACTGGGTACACACCGCATCTCGATATCTCACATATTCTGGATTGTCTGCTAAATTCCTTGGTGTCGAAAATTTCAGTGACCCTCGCACGCAAGATTCGAGAAGTGCTTAAAAATCACCAGGACTGTCATAAGTGAGAGGGCCTCTGCTAGGACGACATCCTGCGCCGAACATAATCGAAGGTTTTGCATCAAAAGTATTCGTCAGTTTCATTCGCATCGGCCTTGAGTTGCATTTCTGAAGTCGAGCAACGCAACATTTTGCACCATTTTCTCGTGGTCCATTGCGAAGCTTCGTTTCGCAGGGGGAGATGGCCAAGCCTGCAGCTCCACCTGTGGAACTGACCGCGAGGTGCTCTTGCTGCTGGCGATGACCAGCTTCTCTCTTGAGAGTGAAAACCATGTTTGAAACATCTTCAGTGAGAGTGAGAAGCTTGCGAGATGATCGTTCATACAGCTTAAGTTTGTTCTTTTCTGTGCTTTTGTGCTTCAAATCTCGTGGTGGATGCCAGAAAATCAGGTAGACCCGATTGTACTTAAAATCTCAAGGTAGGGTACTAACAACTAATCTTGTCATCTATCCCAGGGACTTCTGACTCATAGTCGATCCCTTGATACCGAGGACACAGTAACTGCCAAACATTACAAGGCAGTTATGGAATTTTTCACAAGCACGGCTTCGTCCGCACCCAGCAAGGCTCTGTTGAACCACCCACTACAGTAGTCAGTTTGCGATGCGAGGGGGTGATGGTCTGCCTGCATTTTGAAGATTTTGGAGCTCACGATGCCAAAACGCAGGATCCTCCTGGCGAGAAAAACTTTAAGAACCACTTCACATCAGCTTGAACACCACCTCTGGTTTTAATTGCTAGAAATTATACATCAATAAATAAATAGAACTCTTTTACAGTCAATGGGAATGACTAAATCAGCCCACAGAACACCTTGCAGGTTTTAAAAACCTGCTAACTGCAGTGCAAGGACTCAAGTCGAAGGAGATTGCCGCGCCATTTCATCCACCACAATTCGGTGGAACGTCTCTTCTAATATCCATAGGACATTTGCAGGTGAGATTGAAGAGCGATTATAAAATACTCACCATTCAATGTGGTTTTGCCAAGATGGGATGCAAAAACAAATTGGGGTTGTCGGTAAAATCGTGCTAAGTGGGACCTCTACAGCTCTCAATTCGATCTCCGAACCGTCGGTCTTAATCTAGACAGTACTTGGCTGAATGCTCCCCGAAAGCGGCTAAGTTTGATAGCATCGCGCACTCGCTGAATGGAAATCCACGCTTTTCGATGTTTTCGGGGTCCATACTCTTTGGGATTCGAGAAAACTGGGCCAGACATGCTTACACCAAATCCACCATCGCCCTTTTGGTAACCAAGTCCGGCGAAGTATTCACCTTCTTCGGCGAGACATCCATCTTGGCCCGGGCAGTTATTGGGGAACCTCTGAAGGCCGCCATTGCTATCCATAGAGAATCGCCTTTGCGCAGGGAGGGACATCGACCGTGCGAAGCGGTTGCGATTCTCAAAGTCTGAATTGTCTTCCGCAATTGTTTCCAGAGTCATCTTCAGTGGCGGCGTTCTATACGTGTTCGCACTTGCCATCCGCTGCCCAGTTAGCTTCGGCTGATCCAGCATCTCCATGGGAAACCCCACGGGAAGCAACAGCTCGATACCTAGTGCTAATTGGACACAATGGTTCTTTAAATATTCAGATCAGCTTGCGTGTAGGAACACCGCACCTTCTCCTTCCCCATGGATCAGACACCGTCTAAATTAAGCAGTACACACAACTATAAAACTGTCACAAAAAGAGTGGAACTCACACCTTTCTCACAAACCACACGAGCTCGACGGCATGAATTTAATCTCAAACTCTCGTACCCCTCAGATTCGAGCGCCAAAACCAATGATTCTCCCAAGACACATCTACCTCCCAAGGCGCTCACTTAAAAACATTCCCAACAGCGATATAAGTAGAAATCGACGCTAGCAGAGACCAAGTCGCCGCTACAGAAGATGAACCCCTCACACCGAAAACTCGGAACGCTAGCAAGCTTTAACACGGTGGCAGCCATCGAGCGCGGAACACAAGGCGGGATTGTCACTTTCAGCAGGCGCCGCGGACACGCTGGACTCCAGCAAATGAAGCGAGAGACGATGTGTTAGGCAAGGCGAAGTCGTTGGTGTCGTCCCGACCGGTCAATCCTCTTTGAACGCGCCACCAGGAAGGACTTTCTATTTTACCTCCAGAGAGCGAGTGCACTATTGACGAGTCACGCGCTTGGATTCAGACCCTTTGAACACGGCGGCGATGCAGCATGAGAGCCCTTCTCTTCTATTATTCAAAACCCCCCCGCCCCCCCGGGTCGAGGAATCCCGAAGGTAGACTCGTTCTTCCGAATTGGCGGACTAAGATATCATGAGTAGACTGGTGGTGGCCGAAAATATTTTTCTTACTTTCTCCTTCCTTTCTTCGTGTGTGTGTGTGTTTGCGCGCGCGTAGTGCTGTGCAGTGCTTTGTTGTTGTTTTTCTTCGCGAGCGTCGGCGATGGCGTCGTCTTTTCTTCTCGTTCCCGTGGCTGTCGTCACCACCGCGGCAGGTGCCCGAAGCCAGTCATGGCGGTGCCTGGTTTGGTGGGGAGATCCCCATGCCTACCCCGCATTTCGCCGAAGTGGGAGGTCAGGCTTGGGTGGGGAGATCTTTTGGGCCTCACGTTGACGTGCTTCGTCTGCAACATTGTCGACGTGGCAAACATTTAAAGAAAATTTAGTGATTCTTTATGTCACACATTTTTATTGAATGTTGGAGGGTTTTATGTGGTTAAATTTAAAAATTGTTTTTAAGAAATGTGGAATATAAATTTTGGATTTACATACTTCTTTTTCAAATTAAAATTATTTGTAAGAATAGAATAGGGAAATTAATATGTAAGTATTATGCTTATGGAACAATTCAAATAATTATATAAAAATGATGGATACATTTGGAAACATTTAAGACTTTCATAGAATGTTTAATTATACGAAAACTAATCAAAACACTGCAAATGCTAAACTGAAATATTCTGTATAAGATTTTTGAGAATATATATATATATATATATATATATATATATTCAAATATCATTATGATTCATTTTTCGAATTTAAAATTTTTAATAAAATATGTCAGAAATTTTATTTTATCATATATATATATATATATTCTAAAAATTAAATTGTATTAAACGACCATATAGCATCTACAAATTTATATTAGATAGTAAAAATGTATTCTCAGAAAACATTAAAATTTAATCAAACTCTTATGCAAAAGTTAGAAAATATACAAAGTTATTCAAAATCACACATTTTAATTATAAGTCAAAGATTAATGATTGTCCAAAATACCATTTGATTTTTTCTTAATTTTTTTGAGATGGTGACAGATATCACTTAAATAAGCATTAAACATTCTTTACTATATTTGGCTAGTATCATGTGTATACAAGAGTTATTGGCAAAGAGGATCTTGGTTCAAACTTAAATTTGTAATTTTTTATGTTGTTTTTTATGTAAATATGATCTTACTCATCTAAAATTCATCAACCTAATTTATATTACTTTATTGACTTTCTTGTATATTTACACCTCTAGTCTAAAAAATCAAATCATCTTTATGCTTCTATATTGTGTAAAAACATGTCATCATTAGCAAAATCTATATTGCTTTCATGTCTTTGATATGGTTGAGGGTCTTATTAAATATTAATTGTTAGACTTAATATCAATCATGGCATGATTCACAAACATTATTTGTTAGCATATAGATATATTTATTTATTTATTTTAATTCTTCTACTTAGAGTGCAATTAAAATTCTAAATAAGAATATTTGTTATCTATTTAAAGTACAAAGGAAGCATTTTTTATACCACTTTTTTCTCTTTATACATTCATTGCCATTCTCTTTTATCAAGTTAGTCATGTGATATCTATATATATATATATATATATATATATATATATTATTTTTTTTATTTTGCTTAGAATTTGATTGTAAATTAAAGTTAAAAAATATATTTTATTTTATTTGGTAATTTGAATAGGAATAATTTTTTTTGAATGATTATTTTCTTAAAATAAAGGATTGTTTTTAGGATCAATGTTAAACACATCTCCCAAATTATTATTTCAACTCCTCACATGACTTTTGAAATGCTCCTAAAGAACTTGCAATGCTATCGTGTTGTAACACAACTACATGGTGAAAGATGATAATATGGATCTTATTATAGAAGAGCCAAGTTATAAGATAAAATAAAAAAATATGGATAAAAGATAAGAAGGTAGTAAAACTTTTAGTAGTAATGTTGCCTTTTTAGAAAAGTGACTTCTACTTACTTTGTAGGGCTATAAATAAGGCAAAAAAAAAATAGATTGGAAAAATAAATAATAAAGGCATCTTTAGGAAGAAGTTAAGAGTGAATTCTAGAAAAAATTATCTTGAAAATTAGATATTGATATCCAAAAAGGGCTAGTTATGAACCAGGGTCGAAATCAGACCTTGAGGCACAAAACTAAGCTCCAATGACAATTTGGGGGTTCTTTTGCAAATTGAAGAGTAGGATTTGATAGCAAACTAGATAGGGTTTCTATGAGCATTGGTGGTGTGTGATTTGGATTTATAATGACTTTGTAACAGCTTTATAAAGTCAAGTTTGTTTTAGATGACTTGGATTTTTGTGAAATAAAATAGGATTGACGTTTTGGATGTTTTTGAAAGTTCTGTAATAGATCTACAAGTGAAATTTCGTAGATTAATGGTTATAATTGTGCTTAATATTTTTTGTAAATTTTAGCTTGATCTAATCATTGAATTGAAGGTTATTGAGGTTTAAGTGGATCAAGGTCTCAAAAAGTAGAATTTTAGGTCTAGTGAGGTTTTTTTAAGATTTCTTGCAATCTACTAGTTGGATTGGAGTGAAATTTATGTATGGAGATAGTAGACTTATTTTACTACATATTTGAGTATTTTGAGATCAATCGAATAGTGAAAAAAAGAGATATTGGCTTTGGAAGATTAACATCAAGGTCGGAGAAGGAAACTAGCCAATACCCGAGCATGTTTTTGAGGTTATCATCTATTTGGTAACTCCGATCTTTTTTATTTTTTATTTTTTTTGTGCTTATTATCAACTTAATTTTTAAGAAGCATGCAAGTTTGGTTTAGGATTTAGGATTTTATTAGGATTTGATTAGGGTTTGTTTAGGATTTATTTAGGATTTAAGATTTAGTTAATTTTTGGTCTAAAGTTTGATTGAAGTTTAATAGCATTTTAATTAGGATTAAATTAAGATTGAATTGAGATTTATTTGAGATATATTTGTGATCATTCTAATATTTTTTTAAGATTTTTGATTATTTCTTTGTAATTCATTTAAGGTTTCTTTGAATTTGATTAAAGCTTGCTTAACATTGTTAGTGTTCTATTAGAGTTAGGATTTTATTGTTGCAATTTTCATTCTACCTTCTTTAGCTAGATACATGGAGCATTCTTAAGCAAGATTTTACATATTATAACATATTTGGTAAACTTGATGTGAAATGCTTAAGGTGGAAGGTATTTGGTTTTCTTAGATTATTTGAATTATGGAAAAAGAAGGCAAGAGGATGGATGGAGGAGTTTTTGATGGTGCTTCAAGTGGAGTTGGAAGATGAACTTTAAGTGGAGGATACTATATGTATTTTGATCCTAAATCTACAAGCATATTTGAAGCATTTGTCTTATTCAAGTAATAGTAATAGGTTAAAGATTACAAAGAAGGTATGACAAACAAAGCATTACAAGCAGTTGTGCATAAAATCGATGAATTTGAAGGAAAGGATATTACAAAGTATCTAAGGTGTTAAGCAAAGGGAATGAAATTGAAGCATGTTTTTGAAAGGGAGATAGTTCAATCATTTGAACTAGCTACTACACTAGAAATAATAAGTCATATGAAGTCTATTGTAGGACAATCTAGAGGTTCATGGAAAAAATTATCTCAAGCATTAAAAGATGAGTATTTTTTAGAAGATAGTGACAGAATTAGAAAAGAACTATTTTTTGAGTGGATTGAAAGATCTAAGAAGGGTCTCCAAGCAACAGATTATTAAAGGAGTTTGAAAGGTAATATTTGTCTTTATAAAAAAAATCAAATAATTATTAGATTTAAACAAAGTGAAGTTATTTTTTTAAGCAATTAATGGAGAATTACAAGATAAGTTGGAAATTTTACTTGAAGATAAAGAAGAAGAAGGATTGACAAAGAATTGGAAGAAAATAAAAGAAGCAATAGGATTACTTGCAAAAAGAGAAAGAAGAAATGACAAGGTAGATGTTGAAAAAACTTTGCAAGCATCTTAGGCAAAAATATCTTCTACTCATCCTATATCTATAACTCAACCTTCAATGTCTATATTAAAGAAAGAAGAAATAAGCATGGATAAAATCATACGTGGAATGATAGATTTACAAATTAAATTTACAAAATTTGAAGAGAAGGGTCAAACATCAAGAATGTCAACAAGACAAAAATCAAGAGCAATGGAAGGTATAGTGCATAGGTACATGTGGTGTGATAGCATAGATCATTTAAGAAGGGAGTGTGAAGATTTTTTAGAAGTGCTACGTAAAGGAGTTGTTTTTTTTAAAGATGGTATAATACACTTAAAAGAGAGTAGAGAAAAATTAGTGACAAATTTTGGTAAAGGAGGAATGAAGGTATTTGTGGAAGATGCTTTTAAAGTATATATAATTTTAAGCAATGAAGCATCAATATTTTGGATGGCAAAAAATCCAAGCAAATGTTTAAGTATAAATCTTGAGTATCAAAGAGAATCTAATTCTTTATGGTCAAGTGCAATGAATTATGCTGAAAAAGAAAAATTTACTAGAGATGATTTAAAAAATGTTGGCAATAATATTTAGCAAATTACTAGGTGGGATGATCCAATAGATAGATTATTAGTTCATGATCATATTACAAAGAGTTAATATGAAGCATTAATAGAAGAAAAATGAAAGAGAGGTGAAAATCATGAAGGGCCATCAAAAAGAATCACAAGGAGAGAGAAAAAATGACAACAGAAGAATCCTATGCATGAAGAGACAACAGAAGAATCCTATGCATGAAGAGACAACAAAGAATATTTCTACAAAGAAGAAGGAGATTGTGAAAGAAAAAACAAAGGTTTCCACTTATAAATTATAATGAGATATAGAAGTTGTTACAGATTTGAAGAAGATATTGGAAGAGTGGATTTTAAGTAAAAAGGTTGAATTTATAATTGGTGAAATTCTAAGAATTACAAAACAAGAGTTTTATGAAGTTATTATCAACACAATAAAAAAGAAACAACAATCTATTGGTGATACTATAATATCAAATATACAAGGTATAAAGACAATAGGAAGTAATAAAGATGAAAAAGTTAAAATGAAAATTA